TCTACCTTCCCTTTCAAATTATTTTTATGTGAGTCATTACTTTGCTTGAATATTTTTGTTTTTTGCTGACATCAGCTATTTCTTATAAACTTTTGAAGCTGTTTTTATTGGGCAATAAGGGACAGTCGATTTTGCAACTGTGGCATTGCACTCAATTTGAAAGTTGGGGTTCAACATGATAAATAATGACACAAAATGATTTTTCCAAATTGTTACCGTTTTTTGAGGAGACAAGTTTAAGAGGTTAAGTTTAGGCTCAAAATTGTAGGATTGGAATTTCATTCTGGTCATCAGTGAAAGCCTTATAGCACAGCCTTATAAAATTTATAATTTACTGATGCTTTACAAATAATATATGCATAAGATGTATGGCACAAGCACATTATTACTAAATCATTGTGCAATCAAATAAAACCTTCATTTACTTTAAAAGCAAATTATACTGAACAATTTAGCTATATTATGATGTAATATGTTATACAGTACAGTTGTTTTAGTGTGAATTTTCAATAAACAATGCAAATTTAAAACATTTTGTCTTATAATTTGTGCCCAGCAGTATCATGGTGTTATATAGAATTTTATCTATTTTTTTGTTTTATGATCTATCAAATCTTATTTATTGAGTAGCCTTTTTTGTAATCTTTTACAGTTATCATTTATTGAATACAGTAAAAAAAAAAAGTGTATTTTTGATTCATAATTATAATTCTGGTTTGAACATATTTTCCATTCAGTGTATCTAATACAAAAGATATCACTTTTATTTGGATTTATTCTTGAAATAGTAAAATTTTGAAGTCATTTTCTAAGCAAAAACCTGCAGAAATTAGGTATTTTTGTACATTTTTTTCCAATGGTTCTAATTTAAACTAATGTTACATTATTGGAGAGATTGAGAACAGCAAGGATTATATTTATTAGAATTTCTCACAGAGTTGTAATCAATGCATTCGGTGTAACATTCAGTATAAAAATAGATGAAACTCTAAAAGGTCAAAACATGATTCTTTCATTAGACAAGTTTTCTCTGTTTTTTCTTTTTTGTGGTTATTAATTAAATATTCCTTCTTTTTATCACCTTAGATAAAGACAATTCTTTAAAATGAGATTACAAATTTTGTTGACATTAACTGCATATTGGAACTATTTTTTTTATGTAATTTCTGTAGATTATTTAAGTAGCAATTATAACAGTAACCATTTTTTGAAACTGATCAGCTAGCATGTTTGTGTTGTAGATTTTATTAAGTGCATGTCTGCTCATAGTTTAAACTATAATTTCTTTAACTATTAGCTTTTTTTATTGCATAATGTCACATTTTGTTCTCGGGACCTTTATTAGACAAACCTAATAATATTCAAAGTGAGTGAGGGAGTTGTGTTAAATAATAAGTGCTTATTTAATTCTTATAGAATGGTAACACTGGTCATTTTTTTTTTTTTTTTAAGTGGTCAAAAATTAATAATTTGGTATACATGTTTGTGTTTATACACACACACATATTTTGTTGACAAGCTTGGGTATATCTTGTAGATATATTAGTACAGAATCATCTAAATTTGGTTTACAGGGGAGGTCACCTCTCAGTGGCATTTTAGCTCATCTATTTTGGAATTTCTGGAAAGTGTTCCTTTTAAATATATATAAATATACTAACAGTATTAGTACAAGTAAGCTATAGTAAATTCTTGGAAGCTGTAATGAAACAAAAAGTGCTCAGTATAGGAGGAGCTACTATGTAGTAAAGACTAAGAATGCAATAAATAAAAACTGTAAAAGTGCAACTAAAAGTATAATGTTACAAGTGATCTTCAGAATATATGTGTGTGTGGAGTGGGGGGGATGATCCTAGCGTGCATCACCTTTGGAAAGTGCCTGAAAACCATACTAAGCCTTGTGAGTGAAGTTGGGTCACAAGTCAATGTGACAGAGGGTTTGAGTGTGCTGGCCTTGTTCAAATTGTTGATCACGCTAGCTAATGCGCTCTCTCCCAGAAACTGTAACTAAGGTCTGCTCAGCATAGTTGCAGTATAAACTACAGGTGGGTTCTGTGGGTGTTGAACAAACACAAATGTGCCTGAGGTGCATTGGCAATCGGGACTGGCTTGCCACTCTAGTAGACTAGAATACGAGTGGCCAACTGTTGTGTGTGTGTGTATTCTTTTAAGAACTGAGATACCTAACAGTTGTTCACACTCAACTGATATATCCATTCATGCGTGGATGGGAGTGGGAATTTGGCCATATATATATATATATATATATATATATATATTAGAGAAAGATGCTCACGTGTGTGTATACACATATACCAAAGTCCATGTCAGAATGAATGAGATAGCAATTTTACTATTAAATTATCATTACTACTATTATTACACAATTAATGGTTGATAAAATATTTCTTTCTTACATATTTTTATTTTAGATTAATAACTGTTTAGTTAAAGTTGACAGATTTATTTAAAATAGATCATAAGAGAACCCCCCCACACCCTCCTCTGAATTCTCTCATCTACCCAGAGTACACTTTATACTTCAACTTTTGGAAAGAACAACTTAGCAAATGAAAGAAATGGTATGTGTGCCTTTTCTGTATTAATATCAAACTGAGTAGATATTTCAGCTGTTTAATTTCATTATTCTTTTAACAAACTTTCCTCTCTACTCTCTTTTTAATTGGAACATCCTATTGTAAGTATATAACATAAATGTTTAGATTTTATTGTATAAGTAAATATTTATAAGATAAAAAATTGGTGAAAGGTCAAGGATTTTATTGAACTAATATCTTCATCTGCTCTGAGTGCATTAATTCACATATAATCATCTTCATTGGAACATGACTTCTGTAAGTAACCTAAAAAACAATATCCATTTCACCAGATTTATTTATTTATTTTTTTTAAACTTTGTGAAATATCTTTGTACCCCAAAGAATATATTCATTTTATCTGAATTTAAAATGTATATGAAGGATTTTGGTGTGTGTTTGTGTTTCACTGAACAATACTGATGGGTTATGCATACTATGGGTTACACTGTCCCTAGTTCCTTTCTGTTACACTAATTCCACCCCAATTCCATCCAGTTACATTGACCCAAGGTTTGGATTGGTTCCAAACCAAATACTTAGTATATACATAGGTAATTTTCTTTTCTTATTGTTATATAGGTAATTTACCATCATTCAGTGTATCATGTTGATATATATTTTAAGAATTTTTGTACTTTGTTAATAGATTCAAAAGATGCCTTGGATGATATGATATAAAATGGTAACAACATTTTTTTTTTTATTATTAATTGCAAATCTTTATGGAACATGATTTTCTAGCATATTATTGATTTGAGACAAAAATGTATTTAAATGGATAATTCCAATATTTCAAACTTTTTATGGCATTTATCTAGCCTCTTGTCCACTCTTTAATAGATTATCCAACCTTCATAAACAAAAAGGTTACTGACCACCCATTTAAAACCTTATAATAAACTTTTCTAGCTAGATATGTCTAATTAGCTATTATTATTTTGGACTAATGAATTTAAGATCAAAAGCTTTGGAGAAAGAAAATATTACTGTTCAGTGTACCTATTTTTGGTCATAAAAAGTTTGACATGATCAAATGTGGGGTCACCAGTTAGTATTACAGGAAGTTACTAAATTGGTTTACATTTTATCTTAGTAAATAGCTTACTGTAGGATGTTTGATCAATAAACATCAAAATAGTTCAGGAATGGTCATGAAAAAGTGTTCAAGTTATTTACTAAGTGTAGCTTAGTCTGGCACAAAGCCACAATAGTGAGTCATGACAAGAAGTGAAATCACATATATATTATTTCAAATATTATTTTTAGTGGATACTGTATTATAGTAGTAGATGCTTCGTTTTACTTTAGACAGTATTTCATCTGCTGGCCTGCATACCCAAGGAAACTTAATGCAGAAAATGTGCCCTCTGGCAGGATTCAAACATGCATTCTTTGAAGAGAAACCACTGGTGTGAAGCTCTTTGTTGCTGAGGGGGTTAAAGCATGTGGTTTCTTCTGCAAAAGAGGATGTAGCTTTGAATCTAGCCTTTCACATTTTCTTTAATACGTTTTCTTGAGTGTGCAGGCCAGTAGATGAAATAAATACTGTTTAAAATAAAAAGGAGAATCTATTCAAATATGGAAATATTGTTTAAAGTAATAAAAATATGTTGACTAAAAAAACAAAAAACTATATATATGCACATATTAGCTGCTGTAGACATCTTAATTCACAGAAATTTGTATTTATATAATATTTTTTTTCAATATATTTAATGAAAATTTATTCAATGTAGTTGGTGTACTGTCTGAAACCTGTCCCATAGTTTTAAGAATGGTTATTAGTATATTTGGTTTCGTATTTACAATAGATGACCGAATTAAAAATAAAACCCCAAAAACCCCCTGACCCTTCCATTTTTTGATAATATTTTTAAATCCTGTTCTTTGGTTTATAAATATTAGTAGATTCTTAAAAATTCTATTATGGTAATGCAGGTGTTGATTTTGTTTGTTTATTTTAATTATACTAATATATGTATGTTTGAATGTAAAGTAGAATTGAATTGCTCAGATTACAATTGACACCCTGTACTGTACAGCTTTAACAGATGGTTACACATAAAACGTAAACACACAGAGACATGTTTATGTGTGCATGACTATTCAGACACAGGTGTGTGTGTGTGTGTGTGTATGTATATATATATATATATATATATATATATATATATATATATAAAACTTAATATGAATATTTTGAACTTAGGTTCCATGTTTCTATTTCCAGAATAGATTGCTGAATTTTTAAAATTTCCATTGATTTTATTTTATTTTCTAACTCAAACTTGATTTCCATTCTTCTTCTATGTGCCATGTCCATTCAGGACATTGGTGTCATGGCTCTCCACAATCTCCTGTCCTTTGTATCTCTTAATAAATTTTGTCTTTGTTATCTCTTATGGCCATATTATGATAAAACATTAGTTCCCGTCCAATCATTGAAGTTAAGCAACGTCAAGCCTGGTCAGTACATAGAAGGGTGACCACTTAGGAATACCAGGTGCTGTAAGCTTGGATGTGTGCTTGGTGTAATGGATAACAACTCTGAATGAGATATTGGAAAGCTGACTTTGAATTACAAAATTTCATTATATTCACTCATATACAAATACACTTGGGGAAAGGTATGAATTTGCCACTTCTCCACCCAGCTATGGGTTAAATTAAATAGAACATGTATCTGAAAATCATTATCTAAAAATATTGTTAATGATATTCACTCACCAAAAAAAAAAAAAATTCTTACAATCCAAAAATATATTTCGGCTTTAAATAACCTACAAAAGGTTGACAAACTGTAAAAAAAAAAAAAAAAAAAAAAATCACTATTTCTCTGCTAAACCCTATTTTGCCATCCTCAAGCTCACTAGGTAGGCTATGCTGTGTTGTTTTCCTCTGCCTCTCTTGCCTTCAGTCTGCCCTGATTGAAGATTTCCTATATTTCTTAATTATAATCTGACATCTCAGCCTCTTGTGGATCTGAGCAAATGTTGCTTTCCTTGACAGTTGGTGAGATTGATTTCATTTTTTAATTGAAATGAATAAGACTGAAATTGACATTACAGCAATGTCTGGTTGTTTTGAATGAAAAGGCCATTTGATTAACAAGCCTGAAAATGTAATTCATTTCATTAATATTTTCATCTTTAATCATATTCTCTGAACATTTTCAGTTGAATTCTTGATAAATGCCTCAAGCATATACATGCATACACACACACTGCAATTTTTCATTTTTTTTTTTTGCATTTTGTTATGCAAGCCATGAATGCAATTTCTAATCATTGGGGTTTGAAGGTAAATAAAAACATGAATAAACCTCCTTGTCATCTCTTGGTTGTTAGTTATTAGTAAATTATTAATGAAATAGATATTTTTCACTGTTATTTCTATTTAAACTTTAAAGTTTTCTGATGCTATTTATCTGACACTCCTTTTTTTTCTTTTTAAATGTGATGTACAAAGATTGCCCATTCTCTGCGACTACTATCATGTTGGTGTTGATATTACACCAAACTTACCTTTTTTTTAGTGCAATGGGAAAGGTGGTGTCACTGAGTTGGAATTCATGGGACAAGATGCCTTCTCTATTATAAATGAAAATGCAGATACTACACAGTCTGATGCACAAGGTCTTTTAGAGAAATTGAATTCACATGAATATAGTAAAATTTGATCAGTAACTAGTTTAATATATGATAAATATCTCCTCATAGAAACAAAACTTAAGGCATAATTTTTTCTTTTTTAACTATTTTTGTGTTACTTGAAGAGGCTTTGAAAATTTAAAGAAAAACAGACATTATTTTGACAACATATGAATATAATAAGTTGTATTTTCCATTCCTTTGTCTTTATGAAATACATTTTTAACATTTTAGGCTTGGTTAAGTTTTTGTGAACTTAATTTTTCATGAGATTTTGCATATGAACAATAAAAGCTTCGTACGAGGTATGTCTTTTTTTTTTTCTATTTTAAAAAATTTTGGCAAAATTGGAAAAAATTAAAAAAAAAATATCAGCTCCAAAACCATAAGAAGCAAAATTCATCTACAATCAGTTTTTTTTAGCTGTTTTTAGTTTTGTTTGTCATAAGAAAATAAATCTTAGAAATAGACGCACACAAAAATTATGTATTATGGTAGTAATTTTTAGAGAATTAAATTTCTGCTTAAAAATTCATCATTTGATTAGAAAAATAGTGTACAGTGTAACCCGGATATAAGAGATTTTCTCTGGTCTCAAATTAGAGCCTGTGTTAATGTATATAAAATAGACCAAACCCGGATATAAGAGACTTCTTCTCCGGTCCCGACAACTCTCTTATATCCGGGTTACACTGTATTTTGTTTTTTGACATGACGCCATTCTTGAATAAATATTTACTAACCTGAGTTTAGTCTGAACCAAGACTATATTAGTGAGGTATCCATTGAAGATTGAATTCATTCCATTAGCTCATTGGTCTCTAAGACATTCTCATTAACCATTTTATCATAGAAGACCATGATGTTTACTAAGTTATTTATAACTTTTCATAGATTGAAAACTCTGATAAAATCTAGAAAGGTTCTGGCCTGAAAAATTGAATCGTTTTAATTTCTCTTCTGATAGGTTACATTTTTTTCTATGTTGTAGAATTTGAGAAAAACCAGCCAAATAGGCTTAAATAAACTTTAGTCACTCTGACTTTTGGGCTGATGATGTATGACCATTTGCCAAAAGAGCCTGCTTATGTGATTAACCAATTGTGGTTAACTGCCACGATAGGAGATATGTACTATTGACAATAACAGGTCCCTTTAGGGGAATGAAGATTTTAAGGGAATCTGTGAAAGAAATCACTACCGTTTATTTCCTGTGAAATAATGTGAGAAAATAGGCTGTATGGGTGTAGTGTTTCTCTTTTTCCCTGCTGCCTGCTGAAATATACAAGTTTTTCATTTCTACTTGGACATGTTCTGCAAGTTGAGGCAGACTAGGTTCTGGTGAGGTGGGTTTGGTGGAAGCTTACTTTTTTGACACGGACTGGGAGTTGAATGAAATAACTATGTCTGGGTATGGTAATGGGTGTTTATTAGACCTGGAAACCTATTTATCTTTTCTTTCTGGGTGGTGAATTGCAGCTGATAGTGCATCCAAAGCTAGACTATAGAAAAGCTCATATGAATTGATATGGATCTCTTTGGCTGTCTGCATTTTAGATAGCATTTTTTTTTCTTCTTTCCCCCTAAGATCTTTCTGATTTTCTATTATCATATCTCTTTATCTGGTTGACAGATTTTAATGCTTTTGATGAATATGCATTTCTTAAACAAAAACCAAAAAATTATTCAGAAATTAACTTTTTTTGCTTCTTTATTATAGACCACTGTCAATCTCTTTCTTCCTTATTGACAATATATTTATATAGTAAATGTTTGTTTATTATATACTAGTTTAAAAGCTGCCCTCCATGTGGACTTTTAAGCTAGCTCCTGTGGAGGGATAATTTAGTCTCCGGCCCAAAACTAAAGTGACCTCTGGTCTAGCTTAGAAAACAACAATGATAATTTTGAATTCCTCAATTCTCTCCATGGAACTTAAAAACCTCACATTAACTCCGATTCAGTCTATAAGTCCAATTCCGACCAAAAGACAGATTTGGAGTGAAATTCCAACTCAGGCCAAAAATTGAGTTCTTTGAAGAACTCAATTTTCAGCCTGAGTTGGAATAAACTGTGCAGAACTTCAAAAGCTCACATCACAAAACCTGATTCTTTGGCAGAAACAATTTTTTTTAAATTCAAAGTTTTTCTGTTACTTTAAACTCAATATAAATTTCTTTAGATAATAAGCCCTGTTTTGGCAGTAATACTAGCTTGATTTCAACCCACTGATAATCTCTATTTCCTGATATATTCAATGCATTTCTACATTAAAATAATTCACAATATTTTAATATAGTAAATGTTTATATATAATATATTCTGACAGTAATACTTGCTTTGACTCCTACCTACTGAGAAAAACTTTTTTTCAGATTTTCAATATACAATGTACAGATTGAATACTAAAATTTGCTCGAGCAATCTTGAGAATAAAAACTGCAAAAAGTTGAATTATCAACTTCTACGTTTAGTTCTTAATGTTACTCTGGTGGTTTCTCTTTCATTCATAGCACTGAGTGATCTTTGCCTTCTTGCTTCAAGGCCAACATGCACCAAAAGCAAACTATTACAAATTCTTTTAGAGTAGCGTTGGCAGTAGGAAAATGTACCCTTTCTTCAGTCTGAGGACAGCATACATCAAGAGCGAACTAATTTCCTACATGATAGGGAGTATGAAAATATACCCTTTATATTCTCTAGACATGCCTCTGAAGTTAATGCCTTTTGAAGTTCTAGCAGAACATAGATAAATATTAAATGGTCAACTTTGTTAATTATTAATATTATACTTACTGTATCTATGGAAACTTTTTGCATATGCTTACTTCCAATATATGCTTGTAGTATTTGGTGTGTTGCTGTATATGTAGTTATTAATGAAAAAGTTTTGACGTATTTTTCAACAAATTTTTCAGGCTTGTTCTTTGTGTTGTTTAATTAGAACCATAATAACTCTTCTCAAAATTAAAAGCCATATCTTTTTATCTACTTGTTTAGCAAATCTTAACCAGGATATCACAGGTTAAACAAATAACACAAGGGGTTACAGGGTCTGGAAGAATTAGCAAAAGAAACATTAATAATGAGATATTTGAATTTCTGCACCTACTTGATGTTTATATCTTCAGTTCGTAACGCACATCTTGACTTTTTTTTCTCTCGCTGATGACCATAGGAAAAGAAGTTGTGGAGAGCCATGATTGCCTACATCCTGAAGGGACATGGCACATAAAGAAGTAATATTGTTTTGAATTAGATGAAGCATTGCCAATCATTATTAATTTTTAAGTGGTGTTTCTTTCATCTTGAATTAAAGTTGCTTTATTGACAGTATAAGTAACATCTTGAATTATTAAAGAAAGATTTGTTAACCATTAACTTTTGACTGGTATTTATCTTAATTTTCACAGAGATTATTCATACTATAATTATTGTCTGCACTGTTGACTAAAGGATGTTGTTAGACAAAAAACAGCTAAAATTAAGATGAAAGATTTTTTTTTTTTTTTTTTAAAATCGGCATCACCCCCAAGCAAGGCAGTACAGCCACTAAGCCACAAGGAATTACAGGGTGTGGGAAAATTAGAAACTGAAGTATTAGTAATGAGTAGAAAGAGAAAAGAGTAATCAGGAGGACAGTAGATAGTGATTGACATTGCATTCAAATTTTTTCAGATTAAAGTTGACTGGAAAGCATGGAGCTGGAAGGGAGTTCCATAAGTGAGAGGTGTGAGAAAAAACTGTTAGCATAGAATTTATGGTTACATCTAGCCAGCTCAAGTGTAAATTGATTAGATTTCGATGTCAATCTAGTACTGTGCTTGAATTCAAAAAGTCTACATACCATAGTGAAGAGCTCA